CTAAATAGTTATGTTGGTATCATATGTTTCTCCTATACAAAAATAAATGGCGCTTTAACTCGCAAAATTTGTGCGATATCTTTCAAAAATCTTCAAGACTTATATAACTATTGCATTAGAATTCTCATTCTCATTGTAAACTTTTTTCTAACTGCAAAACATTTGTTTGGTATCAAGGAAGCTCACATAAACACCAGTGATGAGTTTACCCTTTTAAGGCTTTAACTATGTTGAGTAATTGAAGAATCAATTCAAGAAAATCATATCCAGGGGCATGTCAGTTGAAGACCTTAAGCATGGACAGGTTGCTTCTCCTAGTTAATGCTTTTCCCAATTTGTTTGCTCGTTTGAGGCAAAAATTCGAAGACTTTGTTGTGCCGACTACAGTCAATCCGGGGCAATCACGTCAAGATTGGATGATTTCCTCTAAAAGTTTGAAGACACCAGAGCATGGTGAATGCCAGGTCTTTTGTAAACCCTCTTGAGACGCTTTCTCCTCATCAACCATTTTGCTTGGGGCATTTGAGAAGTGAAGCTATTTGTAAGAATTGTCGTGCAACATGCAGCTCATCAGCAGTGAGTTTGGGGCATCCAATTTGGTCCCAGGGGCAATCTAGACTTGTTAGAATATGTGTTAGGTATCGCACACTTTATCAGAGGGTGGTGTTCCCAGTATCTCCAGCTAAGCATGACTCTTTTTCAGCTGAAACGTTGTTCGTGTTGTTATCCTTTCATTGGGTTGTCGACAATGGAGGACCGAACTTTGGGTTTTCTACCTGAAGTATCTTCCCCTCCAAGAGATTTAAGCCTTGTAGAAGGATTTTACAGCATTGTTGGCTTTTGTCCTCTATCTCCAGTGATGTTCCCCTCCTTTTGAGATTATCCGAGCGCCGGGTTATACTGTGATGTCTTATCATCTTTTGTCCATCTCCCCTGTCGTTTTTTTGTCAGCATATACATGACATTCATTTGTTCATTCACACTTGCATCATGCACGCACAGTTGTACTTGTTGATGTCATTGAGTTCGTACACCTTGGTTGTGTCTTTTCAAATAGCACATTTGATCTTTCCAAATAGAGTGCCAACTTAAGCATAAATGCGCCTCCTTTCTAATTCCCCAACTGAGCTAATACTCGTGGATGATTTTTGATTTAGTTTACCTTGTCCATTTCTGGATAGGATAAATTCCCCAATCGAGTTACTTTCTCATTGGGTGGAGTCTTGTTTGACTGTTTTCTCTCTGGTTTATTCCTAGATGAAGTTGTTGCCTCTTGCATAGGCTATCTCATTGAGTTTCCCCAGTGAAATTGCGACCTAGACGGTTGGTGCATTTATTTTACACGTTAAAATATATGATCTCCTCGGGAAGGATTGATTCAGGGTTCTCTTTGATGAAGATTTTATTTCTCTACCAGTGTCATCGCAATTTCCTTCTGAGTTATTCTTTGGAAGACGACAAGCGGAAGCTCTTCACGAGAAACTTGTACGTTACTTTTCTGAAAGCGCCGAGCAGCAGTTCTTCATGAGCTACTAGTGCGTCATTTTACCTTTCTGAAAGCGCCGAGCAGCAGTTCTTCATGAGCTACTAGTGCGTCATTTTTATCTTTTGAAAGCGCCGAGCAGCAGTTCTTCATGAGCTACTAGTGCGTCATTTTACTTTTCTGAAAGCGCCGAGCAGCAGTTCTTCATGAGCTACTAGTGCGTCATTTTACTTGTTGAAAGCGCCGAGCAGCAGTTCTTCATGAGCTACTAGTGCGTCATTTTATCTTTTTGAAAGCGCCGAGCAGCAGTTCTTCATGAGCTACTAGTGCGTCATTTTTATCTTTTGAAAGCGCCGAGCAGCAGTTCTTCACGAGTTACTAGTGCGTCATTTTATTTTTCTGAAAGCGACAAGCAGCAAACTCTTCATGAGTTACCAGTACGTTATTACTTTTCCTTGGACGATAACAAGCGGCAGCTTCTTTATTTGAGCAGCTTGTATGTTATCGGTATTTTCTCTGGACGACAACAAACGGCAACCTCTTTATTTGAGCAACTTGTATGTTATCGGTATTTTCTCTGGACGACAACAAGCGGCAACCTCTTTATTTGAGCAACTTGTATGTTATCGGTATTTTCTTTGGACGACAACAAGTGGCAGCCTCTTTATTTGAGCAACTTGTATGTTATCGGTATTTTCTTTGGACGACAGCAAGTGGCATCTTCTTTATTTGAACAACCTTCATATCTACAATCTTATTGCTTCAGCATTAATGAGTATATCTCTGAAAATCTAGCAGAGAAGTCTGTTACGAATCTATACCTCCAGAAGTCGGTAATCAGTTATCAGCAATTTGATACTCTCTGTCTACCATCGACCTTGAGTTGCGAACTCACTGTTTTGGATCAATGATCTGTTATGGCCTATGCAAGATGCTCTCTTTGTTAGGGTTAGAGGTTGTATTCCCTCGATTTTATTCGCTGTCAGGAGTCTGTCGTTTGAAGTCGATAGCTTGCTTCCCCAGTAATGTATAATCCATGCCGCTGTGTTTTGTTGGTGTTCGATTCCCCCAACATTGTCTCGTTTTACAATATCTTTCTCTGTGAATTCAAGCACTACATTCATATCACTGCATGATGACGGCATCTTAGGACAAAATTTGCGTAATTATGTATTTAAGTACCTTCAATCTCGTCAAAACGAAGATTTTAATCTTCATATCTCCGGATAGAAGGAACTTAAATAGGGGCAGCTGTTGTACCCCAAATTTTGACCTAAGATACCGTCTCCCATCTGCATTATTCGCATTGCAAGGGTTTTGACATAATTCACAACTTTTTCGGGTCGGGAGCTGTTTATTTGTTGAACGCTAAATTTATTAACTGATCAAGATTTAAATGACGTTTATTAATTATTTATTATCTTAAATTTAAATAATTGGAATCTATTTTTTCAATTGTTATATAATTTAAAGACTTGTGAATAATGAAATAAGCATTTGAGAATGAGTTTATTAATTGATCAACAATGATTATTTAATTCTTTATCATTCTAGATTAAATAATTAAAATTCTATTTTTAATTATTATAATTTGGAATTTTATGAATAATGAATTAAATAATTGAATTTGTTGATTGGTCAATGATGTTTATTTATTTGTTTGTCATTCTGAATTTAAATGATTGGATTTGATTTTCAATCATTATATAATTTAAGGAATTATAAACAATAAATAAATAATTGGAAAGAAAAAAGAATTAATTGGGAAATAATAGAATTTTTATTCACTTTATTCTATTTATTACAATTGTCATTTAAATATTGTGTTATTACAAAACATTTATAAAGACAATTACACAAATGCTTAAAGTAAAATAAAAAAAAACTATTTTCCTAAATTCTAATTCTAATCTTCTATCCAATGCTCTTGTCAGCTCATTTAAATTTTACCTGCAAAAAACGATTAAAAGAAAAGTCAGAATTGAATAAATAATTAAAATGCAGAAAATAAATTTAATGTTCATCATTAAAAGCAAACGGCCGGAATCAGTTTTCCCTTTTTGCAAATCACGGGATTTCTCCCGGTTCACAAAAAGGGAGGAATTTTTATGAATGCACAATTAAAACATGCACCAAATCATTTTTCTTGTCAAAATAGCACATTAGAAATCAATTGCATTTTTCAAAAAAATCCAAATGCATATTTCAAAAAAAAACATACAACATACAAAAGTAACAACATATGCCATTTCCCACAAGTAAAGCTAACGTTAACCTGCAGCCATATAGGAGAGTAACATAGGCTCCCATGCAAGACAAAAGAGATATGCAATTTCAAACAATGTGCAAGCAAGTATTTCCTTTTTCATCATATTCCAGCCTATTGCTTTTTCAGAACAGCAGTACAGGATATCATTTTTATGTATCATTTCTGTACTTGAGGTAGAGAGAGGAAGAGGTTTAGTTTTGCAGGTTTTGGTTCAAGTATGAAATAGGAATAAAGTCAACCATATGTAGCAGCATATGTGCAGAGCATCAGGAAAATATATTAAATATATTCAAACCTGAGCCATCAACAAAGGAGCAACGGTCATATGAGAAAAACTCCTCTTCAAAAGAGAGAAGAGGTCATAACCTGCGGGGAATCTCTACACAAGCCTATCACTGCAAAACCATTCAAAAAACCATAGCATATTGCTAAACCATATCACTGCAAAACCATTCAAAAAAACCATAGTCCATTGCAAAACCACAGAACCTGCATCAAAACTATTCAAAACCATAGTCCATTGCAAAACCACATAACCTGTTTTCATAACCTGCATACTGTATCAAAACCATAGATAAAACAGTATTATCCAAAATCATTCAAAAAGACCGACATCAACGGGAAATATTGACTTTGAATCCAACAACAACCATTCACATAGAATCAAAATCAATTGCAGCAATCTACAACTCACTTGCAACTATTCAATATTCCAACCAGTTTTTTTTTAGATGAAGAAGAAAAGAAGAATTAGTAGCAGAAAGCAAAGAGCGATAAATCTTCGGAGTTTACCTGACTTCGCCGGAATTGTACTGTCGGACTAGCTCCGACCATGTGAGTTTCTTCAGTTTTTCGCATAAATCTTCATACCGTTGTGTTGCCTTTGTCTCACTGGATAATAATCCTCTCTTAATTTCTTGAAATCATGTAAATTGGCCATTTAATATCATTGCGAATCACCAATGAGCCCGCAACAACACATCAATCCCTATTTAACACAGGCAATAACTTGATCGATAAATTTCAAAATTCATAATGTTGCAAGACCAACATAATCATATAAACACTGTTAATTTAAAGCCAACTTGAAATAATATAGAAAATTCACAAACCTTTCTCAATTACCCATTCGAACTTCGCGGTTCATCACTATCATCTTCATTCAATTCTTCTGCCACTCTCAAATCCGCGCCATACTTCATATCTCTCACTTCACTCTCTTTCAATCTCCCAACCAAAACACACATCATGGGTTTGCAGGAGGATTTTGAGGAGCATGCTGCCAAAGTCAAGACTCTAAAAGAGAGTCCATCAAATGAAACTTGCTTATCCTTTATGGATTATACAAGCAAGCCACTGTTGGACCTGTTACCACCGCTCGTCCTGGAATTCTCAGCCAGAAGGACAGAGCCAAATGGGATGCATGGAAGGCAGTTGAAGGAAAATCCAAGGATGAAGCAACGAGTGATTACATCACTAAGGTGAAACAGCTGCTGGAAGAAGCTGGTCTTCCTGCTTAACAACATTGTTATGTCTAGCTTTCTATTTCTACGCTAAAAGTTTCTAAGTATTTGGAAAATAAAACAGTTGCAGTGTTTGGTGTTTGATCTAAAAAAAAACAAATAAACAAATAACAACAACTAACCGCGCTAACAGTATCCATCGATTTCCTCTTCCCCTTCATGCAGCTTCCTCTTCTCTCCCCAACAACCTCGTCTCAATTCTGCGACAAACACCCTTAACCACTATCATCACCGTCCCGAGTCTCCTCATCATTCCGCTCTTCATCTCCATCACTCCATTTCCAACACCCAATCATCAATCTTCGCCATCCTAACTCCAAACCCATTTCGTCCTCTGCTGCACAGGCCACGCTCCAACTTGCTCACGAGCCACCATCCAATCTCTCTCTCTCTCGAACCCCTCTACTATCTTCTCTCAAACCCATCGCCACGGTAACAAAGGAACGAAACACTAGCTTCTCTTAAACCCATTGCCGTACTGCGATTCTTTAACGACTGTGAACTATTGATGTTGCATAAAGGACTGGAGCTAGCCGGCATCTACCAACCTCCAAGACGCAGCCACCAGCGGCGGCCAGCTTACAACATTTCCTAGGTTTTATATTTTTTAGTGGAGAGGGGAATTTTTGGCAATAGGCGGAGATTTGGAGACATGCAAGGACGACGAGGAGGGGGGCCGTAGAAGTTTCAGGTTGGAGAGAAAGGGTTGAGCCGTGGTAGATGTTTGGAGAGTTGAAAGAGAGGACTCGTTTTGGAAGCACACGAAGGGCCAAAAAACCTCTAATCCCTAATTAATTACACACCGTTTTTTGTTTTATTTGATTTCCTTTTTTTTTCTTTTTTTATCTTATTAATAAAATTGATGAAAACCTGATGATGGTGTGTGTTTTTTTGGCCAAAGAGAAATTCGCCTTGGGCCTTGTGCGTTTACGTCTCCACAAGCCCATGCATTTGTTTATTTGTTTACCCCCCTTTGGTTATTGATACTTCTTTTTCTACTTTTGATTTCCTTAGCCTTTTTAGAATTATTATCAATTTAGTTAAATTAGTAAGATCTAATAAAAAAAAGAAAGATATAAGTTAATTAAACAAATTTTAATAATTTGACCCTTTTTATTTTATTAGTTTAAACTTTAGGATTAATCTATTAATTTTAATTTTTTTTTTTAACTAGATTTAATCTAATTGTTTAATAACTCTTAAATAATACTCTATATTATTAACAAAAACATAAAAAATAGAAACATATAAAACCTAAAAAACATTTCTATTAATTCTCATTACTTGTTATCTATGTTAAAATGCGTAACCAATTAAAACATTTTTCTCTTCATATATTAAACAAAAATCTAAAAATGCATGTTCACACTCAGTCTCCTATTTAATTTGTTGTATATCATTTATCTCATAATTTTCTGTTTAAATATCTCGCATTTACTTGATTATTCTGTTTGCGCCAATCCAAAGGGAATCGTCTAATTTTTGTTGACTTCATGTCCTCAAAAACGATCGAGCGAATACTCTCATTCATTAAAAGCTTAGGGTAATTTTTCCTCAAATATTCACCCTTTTCAAAATTTATGCCCCTTAAGCAAAAACTTCGACATTAGGTCGTCGCATCTTCAAAAACCCGTCTGTACACCCCTTTCGGCCAAAACAATCTATTTTTCAATCGAACGAACAATTTTAATAAACAGATATTTCAAAAGGTTCCTATAGAGTACTATAGATGCATTGGGTGCTAGTACCTTCCCATTGTATAACCAACCCCCGAACCATAAGATCTCTTTTCAAAAACGCTTTGTATTTTATTAGTATTTACATTGCATATCTAGGGTTTTATTTCGCTCTTTTCCCTTTTCCTTTGGAAACAATAAAGCGCGGTGGCGACTCTTGCTTTTGTGAGTCAAGTTAATTAATAGCTTGATCTCCAATTTTCACCGCTACAATATCTCCTGAAGGATGTCATACTCCCTTTACGGCAAGACTCTGCTTCAATTGTACAAATAACATGGCAGAATATGAAGCGTGCATTTTTGGTCTCAAAGCTGCCATAGACTTGGGGATCAAATCCTTAAGTGTATTCGGAGATTCAGCTTTGGTCATTATCCAGATCAAAGGGGAATAGGACACCAAACACCCTAACCTTATCCCTTACAAAGAACATGTGCTGACATTGATCCCACATTTTGAAAAGATTACCTTTGAGCATTTCCCACGAGAAGAAAATCAGCAAGCAGACGCACTAGCCACAATGTCATCCATGTTTAAACTTAAATGGGATAACAAGGCTCCCCAGATAACCATTGAGCGAATGGATGAACCAGCTCATTGTCACGAGATTAATACTGAAAAAGTAGTGGACCAGCCTTGGTTTCACGAAGTCAAGAGGTATCTCGAGGCTCAAGAATATCCAGAAGGAGCTTCAGTCAATGATAAGAAGTTCTTAAGGAGATTCTCTGCTAAATTCTTCCTTAGTAATGGCATTCTCTACAAACGCAACCATGACTCAATGTTACTTCGGTGCGTAGATAAGGTTGAAGCGGAAAAGATCACGGCTAATCTACATGAGGGCACTTTTGGCACCCATTCCAGTGGGCATACGATGGAAAAGAAGATCCTACGGGCAGGCTATTACTGGTCTATCATGGAAGCAGATTGCTATCAACATTCTCGAACCTGCCATAAGTGTCAGATCTATGCTGACAAGGTGCACGTACCTCCGGTTCCTCTAAATGTCTTGACGGCTCCTTGGCCCTTTGCTATGTGGGGCATCGATATGATTGGTGAAATCAAACCCACAGCCTCTAATGGACACCACTTCATCTTAGTGGCCATTGACTATTTTATGAAGTGGGTTGAGGCAGCCTCTTTCACTTCCGTTACCAAGAATGTTGTAGCCCGATTCATTAAACAGAATCTCATATGTCGATATGGTATCCTAGAGAGGATCATCACAGACAATGGTACGAATCTTAACAATACTATGATCACCGCCTTGTGCGAGCAATTCAAGATCCAGCATCACAATTCTTCCCCTTACCGGCCCAAGATGAATGGTGTTGTCGAATCCGCCAATAAGAATATCAAAAAGATCATACAGAAAATGACAGTCACGTACAAAGACTGGCATGGGATGCTACCATTTGCTCTCCACGGGTACCGTACCACGACACGCACATCAACCGAGGCAACACCCTACTCCCTGGTATACGGCATGAAGGATTTCTTGCCTATTGAGGTCCAGATCCCATCTCTGAGAATTATGAAGGATGCATGGTTGAATGAAGACGTTTGGATCCAAACTCGTCTTGATCAACTAAACTTGATTGATGAGAAAAAGCTTACTACTGTCTGTCATGGTCAAATGTATCAAAAACGAATGATCAAGGCTTTCAACAAAAAGGTCAGACGCCAAGTATATCAAGTCGGGGATTTGGTGATCAAACGCATCATACTGCCGCAAGGTGATCCCAGGGGAAAATGGACTCCTACATATGAAGGACCATTTGTGATCAAAAGAATATTCTCTAGTGGGGCAATGATCTTGACCACCATGGATGGAGACGACCTGCCACACCCTGTGAACGCAAACATAGTCAAAAGATACTACGCGTAAGAGACCTACTAGGTTGACACACCTAGGCAAAACAAGGGCATCCCGACGAACCAAAAAGGTTCAGGAAAAAATTAGGGATAAAACAAAAAAATTTGTACACCCGGCAAGCTAAAAACCCGAAAGGGCGACTTGGGCAAAAAAGGGTATCCTGGTGGACTGAAAACCCGAAAGGGCGGTCTAGGAAAAAGTTAGGGAATTAAAGCGTATGACTATGTCCCGTCAGATCACCTTACGGACAACCTGCAAACTTGACGGTTCTGACCAATTCAATTAGCTTCGGACAAGGCAACAAATAGACAAGATGCTCAGAGTGGGAACCCCATGGGATTATTGCACATAGCTATCTTTTATTTGTATCAAAATTTTCATTTTTTACGACGACATTCTCTTACTAGAATGTTTGTCTCATTGTACAAAAATACTTACTCAAAGTCAATACAAAGATACCCCTTTGAAAGTGCAAAATTATCTGCTTTTCTTTACTCCTGTGTTTTGTTTACAAAGACGTCCAAATGATTTATTTTTGAACATATGCATTAGAACGTAACTACCATTTACAAATGAACAAAATAGAAAGACAATCACTAATGGCTTTAAGAAATAGGATGATATCTTTAGACTATTCCATAAAATTCCCCAAAGTGTGCAGCTTAATCCCCAGCGGAACCAGACCTCCAGTTATCACTCCCCAGTAGAAGTCGTCCAATTTCTCAGGATTTCCTGACAGGAATTTATAGGCAATACACATCATTTCCCTTACGACATAGTTTATTTCTCTAAGCGGAAATTTATCAGCACTTCAAAACATGAAGACTTACACTCCGTATCCTCAGCAACAGTCAGGGATTTATTTTCCCCAATCCAACAGCAGTGCAGTAGATTAGCTCACATACGCATACATCGCATCCATATATCATAAACATCGATAACACGAATGCATATATCACAATCTCATTATACCATGCATTTCATGACATTGCATCTTAGCTAACATTTTACCCTTTTCAGGATAAGATTAATCAACAGCTACTATTAACAATGTTCAAAGGTTGTTCAGATACAGTTCAGATATGCTCCAGACACGGACGCCATCCTGATACTCATTCAGATTCAACTTTCAGATACGGTTCAGATACGCTCCAAACACGGACGCCATTCTGATACTCATTTAGATTCAGCTTTCAGATATAGTTCAGATACGCTCCATACACGGACGCCATTCTGATACTCATTCAAATTCAGCTTTCAGATACACTTCAGATATGCTCCAAACACAGATGCCATTCTAATACATATTCAGATCCAGATTTCAGATACAGTTCAGATACGCTCCAGACACAGACGCCATTCTGATACTCATTCAGATTCAGCTTTCAGATACAGTTCAAATACGCTCCAGACACGGATGCCATCCTGATACTCATTCAGATTCAACTTTCAGATACAGTTCAGATACGCTCCAGACACGGACGTCATTCTTATACTCATTAAGATTCAGCTTTCAGATACTGTTCAGATACGCTCCGGACACGGATGCCATTCTAATACTCATTCAGATTCAGCTTCCAGATACAGTTCAGATATGCTCCAGACACGGATGCCATCCTGATACTCATTTAGATTCAACTTTCAGATACAGTTCCGATACGCTCCATACACTAACGCCATTCTAATACTCATTCAGATTCAACTTTCAGATACAATTTAGATACGCTCCAGAAATGGATGCCATTATGATACTCATTCAGATTCAAATTTCAAATACAATTCAGATACGCTCCAGACATAGATTCCATTCTGATACTCATTCATATTCA